CACCACAGCCGCTGCTACCGTGAGGAGCTCTGTGCGTCGTCTGCGGGAGACAAGGCAGCAGTAATGTGTGTAAATAAACGCTGAAAAACATAGCAAAACTTTGTGATTCATGATTTTCATGATATGGCTTGCACACTTTCATTATTCCTCTGCAAGGTTATCTGGCTCACACTTTCATGGCTCTATTTATTTCAGAAATGTCGGCGCGTGAAAAATTCTCTAACAAGCCTGTTGTGACAGAACTTCACCCGAGTGATATTTGTTGTAAAGAAGCACTCTTCACAAATCTGCTGGTCTGGTAATTAAAGTTCAGCAGGTGTTACGCTTTTGTGACTAGGGATGTGGTGATATTTGAATAGGAATATATTTTCATTTGATTCATGTTTCATTAGAAGCATGCATATCTGGATTTTCTATGCGTTGCAGGAAAGAATATTTATACAAGTAAATAGTGAGTGGTATATTCTTTACTTTAAAATGAAATTCTGCAAATATGCAATCGTTGGGTTACATTGTACTTGGTTTTTACTGCGTACTACTGTCAGGGCACATTAATGCTGCTTCCCTATTGTGAACAATGCACGCGCAACTTTTTGCTATTCATGACTACAATTGAGAACCTTCACCAGACGATAGACATAGATATAAAGTAGACCTTTTGAACATGTTATGCAAGCCCTTTTTGCATAGCGCACATAGTTACATCTTCCACTGGTCGCAACTCTCGCATCTGCCATTCTGGATCCTCTTGTTTTTGGCATCATGCCTGTACAGACGCAGAGGCATGAGCAGCGACATGTATAGTACATGTACGCCTGTCTTGCTTGCCACTGCACACTTCGGGTCAGACAAGCCACACTTGCCTGTTTGCGGACACATACTTTGGCAGTAACTGTTTTACAAATAAACTTTGTTCAACTCGTCTCAACCATAGTAAAGATGAGAGGAGGCCTTCGCTGCACACGTGTTTTTCACTCTGAGTCGTCCAGCAGACATCCACAGAAAGATCTTTTTTAATGCAGTGCATTTCTACTCAATCTCAATGGGTCTTTGTGAGGGGACCTTGAACATAGGCACCTAAAGCCTTGAATTGCCTCATTTTTCTCCTTGACAGTGCTAGAATAACGCTACGCATGTCTATATGCAGACAGCTTCAAGTATTCACTAATTGCTGAAAGCAAGATATCACTTGTAGTTGATTTAATGTATGGCAATTGGTAAACACATTGCCCAGCCTTATAATGCAAGTTGCCTTCTACATAAAAAAAGTAGTAACTTAACAGCTAAGCAAGGTATCTCACTGCTAGGCTTGAGCACAGTAGTTTGATTACTGGACCTGGCGGTTGCATTACAATGAGGTTAAGTGCAGCAACGCCCACATGGGTTGAGGTGCATGGTCAAGAACCCCAGGAGGTCGGCAATCGAGCACCCTGCTACGGCATGCCCTGTAGTATTATCGTTTTGGCACGCAAGAATGAAAGAGTGAACTGTTTATAAAGTCTGGCAGTTTCCTTCAGGCGAAGTAAGGAAAAAGAGGGGATTAACCCCCGTCCCTTCCAACTTGGAATTTTTTTTTCTGTGCACTAAATGGAGAGGATGTCCTTTAACTCTTCACATGAGTGAGGGCATGCGCTGAAACCTAGTTCTCAGTGGTTAGGGTTGCAGTTAGGGCTACCATCGATTTTTTTTTGGTGGCCGAGTTTTCCTAGGGTGCATTTGTCACCTTTTTGAAATTTACTGTAGAGCATTTTGAAAAGCCTTTTTCTCGAACCTTCAGTTGCTGTCACTTATGCACGACAGACCCAATGCCTTTGCAAATTATGTTGCACGAAGGAAATTGCACTTAAACCGAGCAAAAGTCTCGATGGGAAGCATGCGCATTGCATTATTACTTGGACGTAGGTGTGTGTGAACATTGGAAGCTTTCAAACAATGAATCGAATAGCACATATTTGAGCTACCGATTATATTTTCAAATACCCGGAATATCGGCACCGATAATAGAACCCCAAAGAAACGACGCATCTGACAAACGAAGGATAATTTTTATTTTTTATTTGGCGAATAGCCAAGATGCATGCTGTTCGAGCTTTTACATGATTATCGGAAAAATTTCTGATTACCGGACGAGGGATGTTTAGATGAGCGTATTATAGCCGCACCTAATTTTAAATCCGGCGTCGGCAACTACACAGCGCACGCTCGTGTCTCGTGCTGCATACTTGCATCTCGTGCCAACTGTTGCTCCCCCCTACTCTCTCGTCTCGCAAGGCCAGCGCAGGCACCGTCTGCTAGTAAAAACTGACTGCTCGCACTGCACAACTGTTCACTGGCCACCCTATATATGTAAGCACTGGATCGCACATCAGCGTCCCACCACTCATTGAAGGCAGCGGTTTTTGACCATTCATTCATTAAATAAGAATAATGAAGACAAAACTACAATTAAGCATTCCCAATCCATACCCAATTACACAACATTCACGCGATAGCCCCACCACTCTGCGACACATTTATTTGAGTTCCCCCCGTGGGAAGATGCGGGCAGCTTTTTTACATTAAAGGGGATCTGCGATACTTTTCCAAGTAATCATTTGATTGCATTATGAAAGGAGTTCACTGCCTCACAAATTAACTCCTGAATAAATGAATACGTGGTCTTCGAACGATGGGAAAAGGCACCTGATTTCTGTCTGCTTAATTTTAGGCCACATGGGGAAGTGCCTTGTAAGGGATGGATGAAGGGTAATAAAAAAAGATAGTAGAAAGATATATAGATTTGCTAGCATGCGTCATGATCTTTGGCAGCTTTTCTTCGAACATGCAATGCAATGTGATTGTGAGCGCATGCACCAGGGTGTCACAGTTACTACCCAGCTTATGTTGCTCAAGTCAGCCAATGGCTGTAAACTCTGTTTATGGCAAGATTTGTCGAGAGAAGAGCAAGCAATTTATGGCTGACTTTGGAAATAATTTTAAATTCCAAGCCGCATGCTCGGTATATTTGGCTCGCACGTTCTCGGGAGGCATGACTACCTGCAGCAGCGTTTTCCGCCCGTGCTGAAGAAGTGTTGCTCAGCAGCCCCTTTGAACTCTAGTGTCGCTGATGCGAATGCATCCTCAATCCATTATCATAATCACGAGATTCATTATTTTCATTCTTGAATGATTGTTTAACTTTCAGTCCTTTGTCTTACGTAAAAGCTGGTGACAAAGTGACTCCGTGAATGGTGAATTAACTGTTGCATTTATCCAACTGTTAAAAAGTACCTCTAAGGCTGTAGGTTGCCACTTGATACAAGCTTTAGTTAAGTTTATATTATTGAGGTATTTTTTGTTGGTAAACGGTAGTGTTACTTTGTTAAAGTGTGTGAATATTTGTTAAAATAAAAAGTTGTAGAATCCTAGGCCTGTCATAAAAAAGGTTGCCATACTATTTGCAAACTATTTGAATATTCAATTTGTATGAGATTCTGTTCTATATTTCACTACTCACACACCTTTACTAGGATGCCTTGAATGTGTAAACCATGAACATTAATAAATTCTTCATTTAAATTATAATTTTCGATATAATTCAGTCTTTTCAAACGACTGATTTTAAGGTGTATGTGTGTGTTAGCTTGAAAAATCATTCTCGACTTCTTGGTGCACCCATCTACCTTCATTTTCATAATAAACTAAACATAAATGTGAAGATAACATATGGTGCGTAGCTAAGGAAGCACGAAGGTGGGGGTGACTGCAGTAGCTATTTTGTCAGCTCTATGTCAGATGTTTCACCTTCTCTGTTTCACCGACTCTTTTCCTGGGCCACTTTTTTTCCAAACCAAATTATTAAGTGCTCAACGTGGGGAATCAAAAGACGAGACATAGATGCACAAAGGTTTTTGGTATAATTGAAGTAGTCTCACATGGTCACACGATGATACTTTTACACCATACAATTTTATCCATAGTATGCACTAATGGTTCTTATTCTACTCACTTAAAGAGCCTGTACCTCTCAGAAAGAACTTGGTTGTGGTGACAATGAGAAGATTGTCACCTTGGCTTCAATAAGCATCGTTTCGTCTAATAAAAAAGTAATGATGTTTTTAATTTCGCTCACAGTCGTAAAAGCATGGTCGCTAGTGTCACCCAACAGCAATGAGGTTCAATCTATTGAAAGCAAAAAAAAAAAAAAAAAGTCCGCAGAGAAGCTTATCGTGCTTGAAAATAAGTAGACCTGAAAATTGTGTTTTATGCACTATTCGCAAGAACCACCCGCTGGCATTGCCAGCGACACAAGCGCCTGCCTGCCCATGGTGGAAAAACACGAGTCATGCGAGCATGGAGTCTGCGTGGACTGTATAAAGTCATACATACAGCACAAAAAACCTTCTGTGAAGCACATCTCGTGCTCAATTTAGTTGCACATTTGGCACGTGTAGAACCAGTACATTTCCGTTTCGCAACATTGGCGTGCCGCTTTTGCTGGAACATGCCAAGTTTTTCCACTTTACTTAGCAGGAGGTTTTTAGGCTATCTAAATATGGAGATTATAGGAATAATACTTTATTTCACAGTTTGTGAGCTCGAAACAACTATTACTAAACAAAACTTAATGAAGTCTGCATAAAGGGCATGTGGTTCTAGTTTTCAAGTTTCACCAGCAGACTGATTGTCATCGTGTGCAGTAGCCAGTGTTACGGGTGTCCCTACACCAATTGATGATCAAACACAATGCAAACTGAAGATTCCATTGTAAACATTTCTACTTGCTTTCCAGAGAAAAAAACCACTGCAAGATTGAACACTTCAGATGGTATGCTTTATATTGTGACACAAAACAAATAGGTGATGGACAGTAGAATGGCTAACAATGAAGTGCCAAGAACCACGTTCCAAGGCACACAAGCATGCCTAAATCTGCAGTGAGAATAAATGTGTGATCATAAAGTGTAAACCTAAAATGTGCAATTTAGGACCACTGAGGTTGCGACGTAAAACAAAAAAACAAGTTTTGAAATACTTCCTTTTATTGTTCACTTATGTACAAGGCACTCAAATATAGGTCTCTGCTGGTATCACTACGATGCCTGGTTTGCCGTAATCTATCAAACATCCACACATTGACGGATACTGCAACCCAATCCTGCACCATAACTGCTGGAGGGCCAATATTATTGTTTTCGTCAAGAGTCCTGCAGGTGGTGCCAGTTGCTCGCGACACTTCAGCCAGGAGGCTTTGTGGGGGGCTATTGCACAAGAGAATCGAATATGAGATTCTGGATTGACAGTGAAGGAGTAATTTCTAGGCAAACAAAAATTTCGATTTGGCTAAAAAACATGGCAGGTCTACTGTGACACTCGACCATGTTGCAAGTGCACATGCAGGCCCAAGTTGCGACTAGCATACAGGTGTGATAAAAATAAAATGAAAAAACCATGACTGTGCAGTTCTGAGGTTGGTAAAGAAACTCATCACAACAAGTGCATACAAGTAAAACCATAGATAATATGTAAATAACTGCAATCGCTAGCTTATCCTTACTAAGACAAAGTGGAACACATTTATGTGCAAAGTGTCATTAGTACAGTAGAAATGCAGGGGGGGGGGGGGAAAGGGCAATGAAAACGTACAGGAGAAAAAAAATATAGTATCAAGGCAACTCACACAATCTGTTCTTTGGGTTATCGAAGGTCCCGACGCACATCACCAGTTCTCGTGCACGAAGGAACGTTCTCACTTTGTGACACTTTGAAAAAGACAGCAGAATACAAATGCCCACATTACAGCTACACACCAAACAGCGACACGACAGCACTCACACAAAATGCATCACAAACCTTTTCGACTAACATCGACGTGACCTTCACTTCACCTGTACATATTCGAAAAGCAACTACGGTGACTGCAGGTCAAGCTGTCCAATCGTTCTTATTGCAGAGCATTTTTTTGTCGCGACACCTGTGTAAGTACAAAACTTTATGTCTAGACCAAGATTTTTTTTTTTTTTTTCGTTTTGTTACCAAATTTGGACAGGGAACGCAGAAACGGAATGTGTCGGTAACTGAATTCAGCTTTTGTCGCGACAGCCGACAGAAATATTTCGCATTACTTAGACCATTGAATCAGGGGGATTTGAAGAGAATTGCTCGAATTTGCTGGCATTTGCTGTCCGTGCCAATGTTTACCAAGCCATAGATGATGGGGTTCTGCGAGCAGCTTTTCTTCACCTTGCATTCCATCGCCTACCTTGATTGCAAAGTGAAGCTTGCATTTCGTTTTGAATATTTAGCCACGTGAGTGCTCCATACAAAAATGTACACAGCTGGCTCTACATCAATCTGTGTATTGGTCACAACACTAAGCACTTCTCACAGTTGCTGAATAAACTCTTGGGCTGCTAAATGCTTAGCATTCTTTAAAGCCAGATTGGTAAATAAAAGCAACCACAGTGCTTTTATCTAGTTTATATGAAGCACACTGCATGCTGAATACAAGGCAGAAAAGCTTCAGCAGAATGTTCTAAATGTGTAGACTGTGAAAGTAATACTGCCATGGCACCTAAAATAAATCGGTTACAGCATGCGCTGTAATAATTTTCTTTTCCCCCGGTTTCTTTCAGGTGTTAATATATGTTCACTGCACAATGCAATGACATAGATGAGGTGTGTGTGTGTGTGTGTGTGATGAAATGGGTACACTAAGCATGAACAACGTAGATCTAAAAAATGGCCACAACCTGCAAGTCCAGACAGTATAAATCTCAAAGCGAAAACAAGCTGGTAGTGACACCGCAAGCATTCTTAAAACAAATTGCAGCAAACAATATAACTTGCTGCCACCAACACCCAGCAACCTTCTATGAAAGGTGGGGTGGTGGCTAGCATGATGGGTTATGCATATAAAATATGAAATCACAGCTCTCAGTGCTAAAAACTCAAAAAGAAAAAGCAAACAATAACAAAACATAGCAGCTCTAGCTTGTTGAAAGTTACCCTGGGATGTAGGTACTGTGGTTGCCTTTATGGCGTCAGTGTTCTCATTAAATGTGGCCAAGTGTCATCGATGGCAACAAATGCACAGTACTAGTAAAGCTTTCCAAAGAAAAACGTGAAGAATATATTGTGAGGAACCACGACGCTACTTTGGTAAAGCAGCTAACACAAAGAGAAAATATTTTCCTGTTGCGAACACAAAGATTAATGCCCCTGTTTCGCTGATCAAACGAAAATGTTTTGTTATGCCAAGATGGCTTGGGTTCAAATGCTGACCAAGACTGGTGGAACACAAGTGTACTCAGTAGAAATGGCTATGGCTGTTCTAATTTTCAGGTTTTTAGGCCTCATGATTTCTCATTTCATCATTACTGTGTGGCTGCTAACTGGTCACACACTAAATACATTATCATTCTTCACTCTAAAATCAAACTAAATCTATCTGCTACTAACCCCTACAGTTTCTTTTAAAGTTTCACGCTGTGGGCGATGCTTAAAATTATAACAAAGCCGTTCATTCGTGAATGACAAAAAAAAGTGGGAAAACTTGCACATGTGATAGGAGTCTTATTTTCTGGTATAAATTCTGCATACATTTGTGGTGTGAAGATGATGGCAGGAATACACAGCGTCAATCTTAATCTCAATATGGACATACAGACAAGCACAAAAACGGTTCTTTGATAATGGGCACGACAGCACTGATGAGTGCCACTCAGTGACAAAACCACATGTAGCGCCCCCAACTAAGCGATAAAATAAACAAATGGCCAAGGCACCGTTTACATGCAAGAAGTGAATCATGCTCATGCCCCACCGAAAAACAAAACAGACACGCTCAAATCAAAGGGCTCGAGGGTAACGTTAGTACAATTTCCATGCACAAGACTATCAATACATAAATGTGTTGCACAAAAGCAGCAAACAGTGCCATATTGTGCACTCTGTGTTGTCTAGCAGAGACACTCTAGCAGTACTATAGACAAACATTTAAAAAATTTCTTTCAGCTAGAGTGACTAAGTGTGCTCGTAATGTATCGAGCAATGTAACCAGCGATAGAGGACCAACACAGAAAAGCTTGTGCCACATCCAAAAATTCTCATCTTGTCCATGATGTACGAAGTTTAAATTATTGTACTAGACTTCAAGGTCATGAGATCTTTGAAAACTGTATAGCCTCAACTGTGTATCGATGTTGTCGACAGGGGAGCTCACGGACTTTACGACACATTGAAGTATTGACATTGCGTCACTTCAGTAATGGGGAATGATATTATGGTGCCTACCAAGAGTGTGGGAGCTATGTGGTATCCAGTGCGACTATACTTGCTTATATGTACAGGTACTATTAAAATACTGATGAGGTGTTTCACCTCAAAAGCTTAAGGGCTCCTCAGCCAGTCATAATGCAAATTAATAGAGAGTGAAATGAACCCACATTGTTTCTGAAGTGAATATACAACAGCCGAAATCTATAGGCTGCTTGGGGCCATAAGTACAATAAGAGAAAGTCACACCCGACCGGGTGGTATAGGAAAAGTAATGACGAGCTTGTCATAATTTTGATTTTGCTATCAGACTTACAGCTGCATGGAGATGGCTTCGTAGAGATGTTCAGACATTAGCTTTGTCAAGGTGAGCTCTGATGACCAATTACCAGCAGGTACAAAGGCTGACGTAGCCAATCATCAATGGCAACTCACGCTCGCTACAGCTGCTGTAACATGCAATCAAACCAGAGCACTAATAACACAGTACAGCTGCCATGCACTTGCTTACAAGCATAACAAAAGGGCTTGCACTGAAGACTATGAGCTAGGAATAACAAGTTTTTGAGAAACACAGAGGAAAGGAAAGCAAATGATGTAGAAAGGAATAAGGTGAACAGTCCCTCTTCACCACCCCTCCATGGAGTGCACAGGGCATCGCACAGGGTGCACACACACGCGAGCAGTGAGTGGGTTTATTATCACAAATGTGGAACCTCCCTCTCGTCCACCACCTCGTATTCGTCAATGTCAATGTCACTACCTTGGGAGCTGTGTCGGGAGGTGCGAGGACCAACAGCGAGTGGGCGTGACTTGGATGCCTCAGGCTGTCGGGCCGGCCGACGTGATGAGGACAGAGCTTTGACAAGCGTGTCGTCGCCCTCAGAGTCGGAGCTGTCCACCTTGAAGTGTGATGCAGAAAAATGCATGGGTGCCGACGACGCGGACGCAATGGGGGGAAGGAATTCTTCGGAGTCGCACACTTCGCTCAGCGATGGCATGGTCGTTGCATCGGGCAGAAAGCTGTCCAGGTCCGTGTCTTCATCATAGCCTGGAAAGCTGTCTATCCCTTCATAGAAGTGAGCCTCTTCATCTGCAAAGAATGGCGTTGTAACTTCACCCGTTCCTTGTGAATCTGAGTTTACTATGGGAGAACTAACATTCGGGCGAGTTTGATGTGGTTAAACATGTTGAACAGTTCAGCGTGAAATGAAAGAGGACAGAGGAAAAAAAAAGATACACACTAGTAACTAGTCGTCCCAACTTTCAGCAACGATAATGTCACACAGAGGAACACTGAGTGTATACAGTAGACTCTCAGTAAATTAAAATCTGTTCAACAGAACTGCTGCCTAAAGGGAAGAACTGCCTCCAGCCCGATTGGTTTTATACCTGAAATCTGCACCCTTGTTCACCTCTCAGCAAATCGAACTCTAGTTCAACAAAAAACATTTTCCTGGTCTCTTCAGGTTCTGTTTAATTAACAAGAGACTACTGTATCTTTGCTACGTGGAGTAACAATGCGGCCACACATCAAAACAGACTTCTACAAGAGCAGTGGTGCATAGGGCCTTGGCTTCTTGTCTGCCACATTAATTTATTCCAGCCCGGCTGCATAGGCAGTGGCGTTAACGCAATGAGCATCGTAGCAGCACATCAACTGACTGCATTGCCAAATCTATCACTTTTGTGTAGACGACTTGAAAAGTTTTGCTTAGCGACATCATTGTATATAGCTCAGTGCAGGCCCTGGGTTGTATCTATTTCACTTTTTATGAAGAGGATTGGCCATGGAATGGGAGTTCTCAAACTGGTTTCTGCGAAGGACGTCTCAGGGTTGCACAAGTTGTCGGAACAAATTCCATTTCATTCTGATGTCTATTCTAAACTTATGGAGCACAAACATTCCAGTTGATATAATTTGTAGGCACATTTGCCAACACACTAACTTCTGCTTGTGTGAGGCAAAACTTTCTTAACATTTCCCTGCTTACTGGAAGCTCAGATGCTCTGGGCCAGGAAATAAGGGCTTTTTAGGTAAAAAAGAAAATGAGTTGTGTATAAGTGACACTTCTGTGGTTTTGCATGCTTCTGAATTTGAATTCTGTACTCTGGTGGATCAGAAGCAGCTTTGCAATGCTCTCACGTTTGATGCATGAAGCAGTGCTGTTTGCGCATGTTGTGTGGCTTATATATTTTTCTACCATGCCCTCATGTTTGATGCATGAAGCAGTGCTGTTTGCACATGTTGTGTGGCTTATATACTTTTCTACCATTCTCCTGCAAATGAAATTAACTGAGAATAATGCTTTGATCTAGAGCCTCTTCGTGCTTCAAGTGGTGCTTTGGCATATAAATTTTTCCCTCATATTATCTACCAACTAACCCAGGAAAAAGTTCTTCTAGCTTAAAACTGACACAATTTCTAGGCACCCCAAAGAGACATTTTTCATTTCCACGGAGTGCACTATCAATGACCTCCACACACCGGAGCCAGACAATACACACAAAATATTTTACATTAGTTTTCAAGTTTTTGCCCCCTAGTTTTCGTTGGTTGATTGGCATGACAGAGTTTAGATATTGAGAAATGTGCACACCAGACAATGGATGAAATGCATGAAAAACGCTAACTGCATTGAAATTTACAAATCCAGGACTGCCTATTCGCTGGCAAGCGCGGATTTACAAGCACACATCCTCATATGAAAATAAGGGCAAAAACTTTTTCCAGCTTTGGTATTTATAACCCTTATTGATTATTGCTTTTTTGCAACGCATCTATTTTTACCTCGAGCGCAGAATTTTGCATGCAGGATGTTTATGTCAATGCTGTTCGACTGAACCTGGACTTTTCACTGTGCTCAAAATTTAGCTTCTGTTGTTCCGTTTGAGTGACAAACCTTCGCAAGCAGAGGCCCTGTTTCTGTTTTTGTGCCTGTCCCATTTGATGGCGACTGCCACGTGCGCTCCTGAACACCATCTCATCAAATCTGCCTCTATTATGGAGATACGGCATATGCGTGTGTGTGCCCCTCTAGTGGCAAAGTAAAGTTACAAAATGGTGTGTTAGGGTCTTTGCACGTCTTTCCTTTTGGAATCCTTCGTTATGACAGGCTCCGTCTCGGGTCACCATGCAGAGCTTCGTGCCATTCATAAACGGCAGAGACCAGCACAAGAAAAAAACGTGGATTGTCAAACTTTTCGATGACATGCTATTGTCTTGAATTGTGACCAAATTATTTTCGAGGACCCCAGCTGTCAAGACGTTTTATTTTATTTGCCACGACAATAGATTACCTCCTTCTCCTGTTTCCTATTGATCACAAGCTGCAACTTACACAAAGCAACTCGAAACAATAAACCAACGTTAGCCAATTATCCACGACAATGCTATAAATAGAAAAGTATACCAACAAGCCGAGCTAATCGCAGTCTACTTATACCTCAAACACACAGGTGAACTCAGCTCATATAGATTTCAAGGGGGGCGTTAGAAAGGATAAGACACCAACCCAGGGAATCAAGAGGTGGTGCGGTGGCAAGACCTTCAGGCATAAGCGATGTTTCGCTGTGCGTGCTCGACTTTGTGTCAGACTCGAGAGAAAGGCTGAACTGCTTTGCTAAAACCTGTTTGTCCATCTTGGGTAGAAACTCCTCCAGCTCGTCTTCCTCTTCATTGTTAGTGGGAACAGACACCTCACCACCACCATCACCTGAACAGCACAGGATGGGTGCAAGAATATAGTGTTAAAAATGAAACTGAGAGGCAAGTCAGCAGTCACGGAGACTGCTGCCATTGTTAAAAACCATGTCCAGATTATTGAGTTACACAATGAGAATGGAGTGGCTGCAGTGCCCAACTTTTTAGCGAACACGCCTGTTATACTGAAGGGCTTGCGTCAGTGAAAAAAAAGCATGCAGCACAGCAAATTTTCGTATTCTCGAATTGTTTCCTTGAAAATGACATTCATTTACCCAGGTTTGAGCAAGGTAATTTTTGTTGCACAGTTGTCACTTTAGAGACACTCCAAGCATTGCATCATGTATGTTAAGTACCTAAAACTTGAGTGACGTACAAAAAGCGCATAGTTCACTGAATTTTCATGTGTCCTCTGCGAGCAATTGTTGCCAGTGAACAGTAAAGAAACACTATCCACTGAATTGTGAATGCAAAACACCTCAATTGCATGGTTCTGTTAGGAAAACTGCAGTGGTAGTGTTTCACACTTGAGAGGCTTCCACTATTCACAAGTGCCCGAGTCAGTGACAACAGGAACATGTATTGAAAAAAAACCACACTGTGTTTTTTTTTTTTTCAGCATCATCATAAATAAGACAATGTCAGCGACCTTAGACTTGCCAACCATGCTGTAAACTGAGAAAGCACCTGCCCGACATTGAGAGACTGTGACAATACGCATGAGTACTGATAGGTGGCTGGTAGAAAGTGCCGTCTGTGCCAGAAGCTTCAGTGCTTTTCATTTAAATACAGTGTAACTTGCATTAATTGCTGAAGTTTCTTGAATTCTGTTCACAAATGCACCTTTGGAAAATAGCATCTAATGAGATTGTTCTAGGAACTCATGAAGCCTCAATACAGAAAAATACATAGACCTCAATACAGAAAAAAAAAGGCATTTGCCAAACGTGTTTCATCATAAGCCCGACTTGGTCAGGTCAAATTTAAATTGCATTTATGAACAGTAGTATACCCTAGCTGTTTTGTGATAAAATATTGGGTTAGTGAAGCACACTTCAGTGAAACGAGTGAATTTAATAACCACATTGCAGAGAAAATGCAAATACATGATGCATGCTCTAGCTATTTTTGCAGCGGCTTGACGAGATGCTAAAAACAATTTATCGCAATGCTTTCCCAAATTTTTTCTAGGGACTAGTACAGCGGTGGAAAAAAATTTTCGCTCCTTGGAGCAGGTACTGGAGTAGAAAAGATAGCCCTTTGAAGCAGCTTCAAGTGTTTCCGTAGCAGGTGAGATGCTAGTTTGGAGAAGCTACTGGCGTTTTGGAGCAGATTGCAAGATTGCAAAGTATGCCTTACTACTTCTGCAATTAAAAGCAGTATTGAAGCATTTCTTAAATGTTAATATTTATTATGAGAGATATTTCAGTCAACACTCAACGTGAATGGCAAGAAAACAACAACTAAAAAGATTATTGGCTTTTGAATGTGCCGTGATGTGAGCTATGTATTTGAAATGAAGTCTCTGTCATTTTCAATTTTCCACCAAAACAGCCTGCACTTAAAAAAAAAAAAAGAGAAAGAAGAAACAGGCTTAATGAGCTAAATGCTTGATATGCATATTGTTGCATAAATGAAATTAGAACCAATAAAGCAGCACACTAGCATACTGGGATGAAAGTATAAATTGTTTTCGGTTTCTTTAGTGCAGCAAGGAGGCATCACGGTTAAAGTTCCCATTATCATCATTTCCCTGCCATCTCAAAGCATGTTCAAGGCGGAGACTTAAAAAAAAACAAGAAATACAATCTGGAGCAGTACTTAAATCACTGCTAGCAGGAAAATTCACTGCTAACAATAAGGGTTAGTAAATGTCAGGACAAAGATGCCCAAGTTGCAGTGAAAGCATGTGCACCCATAGGCTTTTATCGAAGCACAGGAGAAGACGTACAGGGCTCTTGCATGCTGGCATTGGGACATAATGGCTTGAATATAAAATCTATCTGGCTTGGTTAAAATGTGAAATGTGCTGTTACTTTATAATTGTTAATTGTCGGAAGTCGTTGACACTGCAATAAAAAAGGAATAAACTTTGGATGCGGCAAACACAGACCTTTCTCAGCATTGATGAAGGTTCTGAGAAAAACACAATAATGATCTCCACATAGGTAACCTATACTTATGAATTCTTAGCCTGTATTAACAGCCACATGGATTACTAACTAGCCTGTTGCAAGTTGTCCTAAACAACAATAAAAATGAAAAAAAAAAAATCAGTACACTTCAGTCGTTTGAATTCTTTTTGTCCACACATTTAGGGGAAAAAATGTGCATGCCCTAGAGATACACTGTATAAGAAATATTGTTAATTAGCCAGAACTCATTACAAGTGTGCAAAAGTTGTCATGAATACAAAAGTCCTTGCTTTTCAATTTATTTACTCAAGAATGTACTATTTCCACCTGCCAAACATTCAGAAGACTAAGCAAGTGCTAAAGAATAGAAAAAGATGAAAGTAATATCAACGAGATTCTAATCCAGGACGAGCTGCGCTGCCTGTGCAGGGGCGCCAGTGCCCTTGTGAATGCACAAAAAAACGAACAAGGCAGTAACTCATGCGTTTCGAACACACACAGATTCGAACCTCATACATACCCCCTTTGAACGTAGTCGCTGCAAATACCCTATAAAGTCAAAGTTTAGTGCATTCGCTAACCACTCAAACCATAGTGCTTCATCCTATGCCTACCTGTTGGTACGTATCCTGTGTGGTGCGATAACTGTTGGTTTACTGCACCAATGAACTCAGCGAGACCCTCGCTCGGGTATTGCGCGGCTACGACGTCCAAGTGGCTCACGTTCCGACACGAAAGCTCCGAGGCCGTCTTACAAATGTCAGATAAGTTGGACAGACATGATTTTCCCGGCGTGGTGTATAAAATTCCTTGCAAAGACTGTGAATACGGATACATTGGCGAAACGGGCAATTACAAAAGAAGGCTCCGGGAACATTTTAATGACGTCAAGAACAAGAAAGTAGCTTCTAATGCCCTCGCAGATCATGTTGCGTCTACTGGGCACGCTATCAACTGGGATAAAGCCTGCATCATTGCCACAGAAAGAAAGTTGTTACCACGATTGCACATGGAATCTCTGGCCATTCAAACTACTGCGCATACGTTGAACAGAAATATTGGGACACTGCCCCCTGTGTACGCGCGATGTCTGCAACACGTGATTAAACATGCACAAGAAGAGCGCACTACGCCATTTGCTGTCACTGGGAACAAGGCTCCCAGCTGAAACGTCTTTTTAAGTTTTGTGTATTTCACCTTGGTCGGCGTTTTTGTTTTTGTTATTTTGCACTATGTTTGTCCCTGACCAGACGGGATTCCGCCGGACTCTTGACTATATAAACCAGTGAACTTGCCAACGCAATAATGTGCCGCGAGAGGTTTTCCATCGTTATAAAAAAATCAGAGATCTGTTGATGAACGATTTTGGCGTCGGCTTGATTGCGACAAAGCCTTTGCGGAGAGGTATTGGAATAAAATGAAGGAGGGATAATCGCCACCAACAACCCTATTACCTTCAGCTATCTGCTTGGCCACGTGTGCCACTGCCCAGTGGCCAATTGCCGTGGCTTTGTGATGTGAGGTAGTGCAGCATCACTTTGTAGAAAGGAAGGCAGCTTGTTGCAGAGTTCAGCATCGTGGGCGCCAAGAAAACTTGCTGCACTGATGCTTATCACGTCAAGCGCGTGCGTACTGTACAGCAAGCATAGGATTGTTGCAATCAAAGCGCATGCTTTTTTTTAGGTGGCCAGGCAAACATTCCTTCGTCCGCTGCGACAGAGCATTGTAGAGGTGCCGAATGCAGATTGCTTGCAGGAAGCTTGTTGTCGCTGTGATTACCCGACTATCTAAATGCTGCATTTGCGCACGGTTTGGAGTGGAGTGGGAATGAAGAACACGGCAAATGCATGCATACGGCACAACAAGCAGCCCTGCAGTGATGTGAGCCGAGTAGGCGACGCAATGAATGCAACTACAGTAAGGCACAATTGGTACATGGACGTACCGTGTTTCAATGAACGTATACCAGTTTTCACTCAGTGGCAGATTGCAGTAGAGACACGTGCACACATGTAACGCAGAGAGCCGATACTGTCCATGCTGTCAGTGTGTCAATTGCTGTGTATCCCAAACTCTACAATAATAGTTTTGAAATGCTCCTTGGCATCACCACTGCACGATATTGGAAGGCGGTGTGAGAAAGCCAGATTCTTTTCTGACTTCGACAAAAAGGAAGTTATAGCGCTGGGATGAGTACATGACGTGGTATTTTTTGTGGCTACGTATTAACGGGTTACGCAATACAGAAATAAGCCACTTAAACTAAGTCTATAAGCCCATCCCTGTGCAAACAAGATTTTACAGTTTTATTTTTTTTAGATTGTTGTTAAAACACACCTAAAATTAGCACAAAAAGTGGAGTAAGAAACTGACAACAGCAGACTCTACTTGCCTTGCAGCTTCCTCCTTGGCGGCTTCCCAGATGCAATTCTCACAAGCGCATCAAACTGTTCATACCATGTGTCTGGTATCACATAAAGAGCAATTCCAGGGCCAAGGGTAACAACCATCACTGAAAAAGCAAACAGCTTCAAGTAAGATGGATGTAGGGTAGATTTCAGTGTCGGTGAAAAGTGAAAAGGGGTGTTTACGAACTTACACAGGCTGTACAGTATGAGGACGCCAGACATCATTCTTCCCAACACAGCCGTCATGGCAAAAGTTGATGTCGCCAGAAAGCAGAACTGCAGAAAAAGGATAAATCAACGGCAGTCACGAACGAGATTGGGACGGAGGGGTTTTTACAACAATTGACATGACACGTGATCAATGACGAATTCCACTGGTTGGGCTGGAGCAAATTCTCATGCATCCTGGCCGATAATCTGATTCCACTAGTCAAATCTAAGCAAGCTCGCGTATTCCACTGACCGATGATGGAGCGTTCTGCATTGCTTAATCATGCCGAGGTGGATTTCGTCAAAATTTCAGCAACGTGGAGCTGTCATTTCCGGTGGAATCGGGCAACTCTAGTTTTCAGCCTTTTTTGAGGTGGTGCCTGATCACCCTGTGCACTTGTTTACATTTACATGCAAGAAAACGGCACACTTTGCAGCGGTGATCCATAAAAACACACATAGCGAAAGCAGAAATAGCTGCATAAAACAACTTCCGGGGCGACCCAACGAGGAGTATTCACGTGTTCCAATGGCAGAGTTGGCTTTGTACGATCCAAATGTTCACTCAAGAATTTCGAGCCCTGCTAGATATCTCCCAGCGGAATTTGCCCTAACATTACAGCTTTCTAGTACTCTGCCACCACAAAGAACACTGGGGGCACAAAAACACATACTTCTGTAAACATACACTTCAAAGGTACCATATCTTCTCGCACATAACGAGAAAAAAGAAAGAAAAAAGGAAAAAGAGGGGAGGAATGTGCCCAACTCTTTCAGACGCTTTTTGCAAAATCGGGCGCACCACTAGCTTTTTGTTAGTTCAGTTCTTGCTTTTTGTTAGTTCAGATAACTAGTGGCTAAAAGAGCGTAAGTTACATTGACCCCGCGATGAATTAAACTTCTCGCATCATAAACGTGTCTTCATTTAATTTTACTTTGCAGTGTAACGTTGAATATAATCACACTGCTAAAGGCACTAGCATGTTCCAAAGATAGCTCGATGTGCCACTCGCCATGGGCCAACACAGAAGTCAAATTTTTCTTTGCACAAAATAAACATAACGAAAAATGAATTAACGCTGTTTCTAATTTGAGATTCGACTACACAAAAACAGAGCATGAATGACTTCAGAATAAAAAATGTTTAATTACAATTTCATTAAAATTAGTCCCTGCTCCACACAGAAATCAACATATTAGTATCAGATTATTTTTGCTAAAATAGAATATTCAGTGCGTTACAATAATGTTATGATGCTTATTCATTTGCAGACAGACCTTCATAGGTGACACATCGAAGGCTTAGAAAGCGGGGGTGGGGGGGGGTGGCGGTTACATACATTTTTTTCTTTTTGTCGACTTAAAGTTAGGATTACGGCTTATGCATGAGAAAATATGGTAACTTTGAACCCAGCAGAAATCCTACAACCTCCCACGTGCAACGTCACTGATGACGACAGATTTCTACCGACAGATTTCGCCACATTTCTACCAAGTTTAAAGATTCTGAATCCGGATGTTGATCGAAACACAAGAGAGGGGAGCCGGAAGGGGTTCCCTCTCTCTTCCACTTAGTTTTTTTCACAAGAAATACACATCGCCAAAAACAAAAGGGGAGGGGGGGACAGTCCCGTAAACCTAAACATAACATTTTTTTCCGACCAAAGAACTCCCCTTCACACGCTAACGGATCAATAAGGGCCGACGCAGCTGGATGTCGCGAAAGTGCGCGACAAAGCTTCGCTTGAGGGCAACTGACAAGTGCTGAAGACTGCTACATCGTAGTGATATGTTATGACACGAACACAGAAATGCTTCATGCCTCTATGTTAAGCCTCTATCGCATTTAATCTACTACTGTGTTAGCCACCTATTTTCGAAACTCGTAGTCTCTAATAATAATAATCGTATTGAAGTGACCGCAGTTTTGCTCATTGTGGTTGCGGCAAACGATAGTTCCACGTGTGCGCTGGTCGCGCATGTGCCTTCAAAACTATGTCGCTTTTTACAATCAGTGAATGCATCTGTTGTGGTTTTGTTGTTAGCGTTAAAAAGAAGTGTCGCTTTTCCAGGGTGAGCGTTGGACTGCGTTGGAGTTTTGTCCAACGCAGCCTTTTTGGAGTTCTGTTCGATAGTGTCGAATGACCACTGTTTCGTTGGGCGCATGCGTTCTCTCAAAGCTTCCAGTAGGTTGCTATCAGCCATCGCTCAATGGTTTGCTACCAAAGTTCTTATCACTCGGTGCGACACGCCAAAGTGTTCAGCACATCCGAATTTTCACCCACTGGACACAGCAGGGGATTTTGGTGGATTTGTATCACCGAGATTTTACTGAATGTTTAAATCAATGACTCCATATTCACTTAAATTATTATTCGATATAGCAATAGTTTTGCAAAAAGTGTGGATTCGATAGGGTACAATTTTTGCTAATGCGGCCAGATCACGCATAGAAATTTTAATTTCCAGGAAAGTTTTCAGCAAGCCTAACAAATGTAAGAAATGGCCGAAGTCCGAGAGTCTCCCGGAAAATCCAGGAGACTTGGTAGATATGCACACATGTACACTGTTCATTTCTTTCAACACAGAAAAGAGAAAGAACGAAAAAAAAAAAGTTATGGGCAGGGCATTTTTACCAAAACCATCCCAACACAACAGAAAACGAAAAAGTGAGGTATAATGTATATTCCTTGTAAGCTCTTCTACAAACCATTGAGAAATGCGCTGAGAATGTTCCCTTAATCCTCATCTTTTCTGTGGCAGCAGCACTTAATACTGAAGAACAAAAATCTAGATATTCCCACACATGTAGGCCAGTCAATTCCTCAATCATTTGAAAGCATAGAAAGCATCCATTTTCAAACTAATGTAACCTTTCATGTATATTATGTAGTTTTTTAATGCACTAATGGCCAACCTTTGATGACAATAGAAAGCAGTGCTATAGAGGTGGGAGAGTGCTCACATATGCAACACAGTAGAACCCCGCTGTTACCGTATTTACTCGATTCTACCGCGCCCTCGATTGTAACGCGCACCCGATTTCCACCGCGAAAAAAAAAAAAAAAATGTAAGACATCAATTGCAACGCGCTCCCATTTTTCTCGCTGGCCTGCACGATCACACCACTCGAAAAAAAAAAAAACGACTTCTTTCGGGAGTGTTTTCCATTTAAATATGAGGTACAGGCGAAGCTTGTGCCCATCTGACGTGTAACAGAGCATTGCCGTCACTGCAGTTTTGCCGTGGACCGATGTCAGCACGCGAACTTGCTTCGCCCCCTTCTTCTCGACGGTTGTGGTGCCAGGCATGTCGAAGTAAAGAGGCGTCTGATCGGCATTCCCGGTTTTCCCAAGCAGGTAGCCGTTGTTGCGCCGCAAGTTTACGACGAACCTCTGAAAACTGTAAAGCTTTTCATCGTACTCCTCCGCAAAACTTTTCGCGTATGCATGTACGCCTTCGGAGGGAAAAGCCTTTCCTCTTCATAAAGTTAGTTAGCAAGCATCTGCTCGCTTTAAACTGGCTCCGCATTAGACCTTTTTCTAAGACCAATTGCATAACCCGCACTTGGAGCAGTTCTGTCGTCACGGGCCGCTGTGCCGCTCGCTGCTCAAGCACATACTTGCCAAGCAGCTCTTTAATTTGCGGAAACCGACCCTGCTGTGGTCCACTGAAGCCTTTGCGTGAAGCTTTGCTGTCGACAATCTTCTGCTTTTGTTTCCGCCGGTCCCGCACGCACGTTTTGGGAACTCCGAACGACCGCGATGCGGCCCGACTTCCGTCCGTTTCTGCACACGCGATGACTTTTCTTTTAAAAGCGGCATCGTAGTGCACTCGAGTTTTTGGAGTCGGCCCTTCCACGCCGTCGATGCTAATGCACTACTAGATGAACTCCTCAGCACACGTACGAAGTGCCGCACATGGGAAACACATAGGCAGAAATGGCCGACGCGCATAGGGGGCGGCCATTTTGAATTTGCCGATGGCAATAGATTGACCGTAATTTTTTTGTTCGTACTCGATTCTAACGCGCATGCGATTTATGAACTGGCTTAACCGGAAAAAAGGTGCGCGTTAGATTCGAGTAATTACGGTATGTTCCCGTGCCATTTTATTTTCTTCCCCTCTTTTTATGTACTTATAGGGTATAATGCAAGCATGCTATAAGTGCATAGTTATTTCCTGCCTCGAAACGTTGAAGTCAACAGGATCGCATACAACAATTATGTTTCTGTTAATGATGCTGTTTTTACATACCCAGTTCTATCATCGATGAGATCATGGAAGTGTGCGCCGCTGCAGTCAGCAGCAACAAAGTATACGAGGGGTTCAGTGTTCTCTGGAGGTGACATTACGGGACACTTTCACTTTTACAAGGCGTGCAGTCATCTATTAGCCCCACCGATCTGTCACTGAGCCAGCCGTGCTAAAACAGTGTGCCAAAAATGTTACCACTTGCAGACTCTTCGGCAATCCAGCAATAATGTCATGAAAGCACCGCTGCGTGTGGTCACTTGAGAATACTGCCCATGGCGTTGGAACTGACATTCTCAACAACCATAATGGCAACAGATTTATTTGAAAGGAATATACACTTAAGTGATTACGGCAATAACTATACCTGTGCTGCGTATTACAATGCAGCACACGACACAACAGGTCTCTAACTAGCACAAGAAAATCAGTCTCAAGACAGTAATGCCAGCCAACTAACCCAACACTCATCTCTTAATACTGCAGATGCTCGTATGTCTGGTCATGAAAAAAATTCAGTAGCCAATGCTCCACAATTCTTATTTTTTTTAATGCACGGGCGCAGAGGCAGATCTTTGTGCACTTTTTAGCTTTTTTTCTTTCTAATTCTTGGCAGTTGCTTTTCATTTTTACGGCTCTCACTTTTTTTATGCGGTTCCCTGATGAATATATCAGCGAGATACTCTTTTATTGTGACAAACATCTTGGTGGAGTGTTGGTGTTTTATAGATAAGTACCGAAAACCATGCCAATAATGCCCAAAGCTCGAGTGCTACCAATGAACAAGCCTTCAGAACTCTTTTTTGAGCATACTTTTCATCGTTAAGGAAGAACACAACTCACCAGTCCTTGGTTGGTCTTTCGTAGAAGAATCACATTCGCTACCCACTTTCTTGTGCTCTCGGACCAGTCTGTGATGTACCGGCTCAGTTCGGGCACACTGAAGACCTGAGGGTGCACGGGGGTCCACCTAAAAGGTAGCGCTACTCTGTGAATCATATGGTACACCTCAATATCAGCTACAATGCCTCAACCCAAGTTCCACACAGAAAGAATACGTATCACAGTTATTATATTGCCAGATACAAACTGAACATTAAGTGAGTGGATACTTTTAATGCGACAGTAGAAGCAAGACTCGCTTAGATCACATTGCCATCAACTGAGCCATTCAAGACCACTAAAACTTTAATCTTTTCCATTCAACAGGTTGTCGGATAACTAAGCCCTTCAATTGTAACTAGACTCTTCAAGTGCTCCAAATACAGCTACCAGCAGTGTTTCTCAGCAGTTTCAGCACGACTTATATTTCCCATTTCTTTTTACCTTTAGAAGATGTAGCCTGTGGAAACTAACGCTACACATTCGATTACGAGCTGCTTGCAGAGTCTTGGGTTTTTGGCCTAATTTATACCTGCTGGAAGGCATAAGCTCTCACATGCTGACTGATCCTGACATGCCTGTGACATTAGTTTTTTGCGGTACCTATAATATTTGGGTCATCAGTCTTTTGACTGATATTAGGTTTGCTAAAAAGATGCATGGCGCAACACACGAAATACTCGCATAATGCAGCTGAAGATTTTATTGGTGTGTGGGATTTCCGAGCCTACTGAACAAGGCATCCGCAGCAGAGCATGCCATGCAGAGGAAAAGCCTAGACAGAAACAAGGGCCAATTGAAGTCTAACGCAAAGGTAACTGCTCACTAACATCGGGGTTTGTGCCACATATTTCTTGTGCCCACACCACAAAAATAGCCTGCAGTAAGCTGAACAGTTAGTCAACAAAACCACTATGAATGTACCAAGCAACATGAAAAGTAAGGATAAACAAAAATCAGGAGTTCTGTGACATCAATGCCACATTGGCCCTCAGCCCTCAATAGGATGTAGACGGCAATGACAGCCTAAGCAGATCAGAGACAATGCCGATATAGAGGATCATGATGGGGCTTACACATAATGCTACAACACAATGCCAACAACAAAGCACAATGTGTACAACAGCTGTGATTTCTAGTAGGAAATGTTGAGTGAACTAAAAAAAAAAAAACTCACCAAAAAATCGGTATGACATGCAGAATTTCGAACCAAGACAAATCGCACATACACACGGCATGTCAACAAAGAGATCAGCTTCAATCAATTATCCCTCTAGCATCACGTTTTTCTTCTTGCTGTTTGTTTGCAAAAATGTAATTTCGTTGACACGAGTTCCACTGTAATTTAGTCCTTAAATTGACAAGCAAGAAGACCTAATATAGTCACTCAATGCTTCCACTAAGTACTTTTACACGAGTAAACCATGAACATGAAGGCCACAAAAGAAGTATCGCTTTTCTTTTGACAACTGGCCAGCTTTTGAGAGAAGAGAAGCAACCATATACAGCTAACTTGAACGAAAGGGTACAGCTGAAAAAAGAAACAGACGTAATGAACAAAGGCACCTAAAAGCTGACAGGTCATATATTTTTTTTTTGTCAGGAATGTTGCATCTCTGTGCCAACTCCTGTCGCGCTTCTCAAGTAATCTATAGATCTACGCTCTTTCTCAGGGCTTTCAGTCATCCTGTGATGCAATAAGCGTTAGCCGAACCCCATAGAAACAGGAAGCGAAAACAGCAAGAGACTTTGGCATGTGCATGTTTCGAAGTAGTGGAACCACGTGCTGAAATAGAACGCTTCTGAGCTCGCAAGAAAACACAATTAACGAAACTCAAGGTACACTTCCAATATGGTCCAAAAGTCTCGATACAGTATTGCTAGAGTGAATAGCAAATAGTGACGAAACGAGCAAAGTAAATGTACTTGAGGAGCTTGATTCCTAGTCAAACACAACTGCAACAGTCGATTGCACCAGCAAAAAGAAAAATCCCAATTAAACAAAAGAAAATCCAAATTAATCAATGCATGGAAATAATCGGGTCTCTACAAAAGAAATGAAAGTACACACACTGTTGCTTGCCGTAGTTGGGAGCAGTTTTCTCTTCCGAAATAAAACGGAGTATGTTTTTTCATGGATACCCAAGAACATGGTGCACATATTGCATACCAGCAGGAAAAATTTTTTTTCTACATGATTCCTGAACCGAACTATCCGAGAAAAGTGTAGATAGTTCTATCCATTATTATCCATTCGGTGCCTTTGCGACAATGAAATTCTGTGCATGCTCTTGACTATTGCAATCACAAATGTGAGGTGAATTACAGTGATACTGTACAAAAATTGCTATATAAGAAAAAAATCATTCATGATCATTTTTATATTGAGCCAACATGCTCAAAGTATTAAAAAAAGCACCCAAGGTCATGAATCACGCTGACGTAGCTCCTTGCCCCTTTTTTAACCCTTAATCGTGCTCGTTAGGATGAAAGGAGAGAGAAGAGGCTGAAAGCATGCCACAAATACCTAAAACTACCTACACACTTCAGGGATTCAAAACATTTTTGTGGCATTCAATTCCGATAGTGAGGCCAGCCTCATTGAGTGATTACTTGGAAAGTTGCTGAGGGGCCCTTTCAGGTACTATCATTGATTCCTTGTCAATTTATAGCAGCACTATCGGCACACTTGCTTGCTATTTATGTGCTACAGCTAGCACGCAAGCACTACAAGAGCTTCAGTAATATCAGGATATGGGCAACCCTGCACGACGAGAGCATGTGCATTCTACATTTGATCACAATATTCCAAGCCAGCAATGACTCTATAGGATGGAGGCCAACATTATGAGCAAAGCAAAAGTTGCAATGTTGTGGATTACCTACAGATGCACTCATCTATCACACCAAATGCAATGAAGTAGACTTGAATAATTGTGCTACGAAATCATTGCACATTAATACATTGGTTAAAAGTTCCATCCATCAGAAGCCTGCCAACAACAAAGTGTCAGGGCGTACAGTTCAGCAGACACATGTGCTCTACCAAAGTCATCTTTACAATCTTCCCTGGTAGTGCTACAAGTCAAATCATCGTGGACACACATAATTCCTCTGAAGTCCACAACATGTCAGTTATACAAAATCATGAAGAAAAAAAAAAGCTTCGATACTGGGCAGTGAAAATGTGATCAGATACAAGTAAAATAAAAACTAGGTACAACACAGAGAGCAACAGCTCGAAACTTACCCTTCATTATCCTCCTCTCCTTCTGGAATAGGCACACGGATCTCTGGCCATATCTTGTCAACCCAGGTTTTGTACATAAATATTACAGCTGCTATGAGAGCCACAAAGGAGTAGAATCTCCTGCTGCATGACACCACCAACCTAGGAAAGAATGAAATCAAATGTAGGACTCCTGATACAGCCTTAAGCTGTAGCAGGCAAAAACAGATGCACGAGGCCTTTTCTCTGTCAAGAATAGACTATGGCTGCCATCTAGGTGGTGACTGGTAATCGCACAGGTGTTTCTGACTGACGACAATAGCTTATTCACACTCCAGGAAGTGTTCCAACAACAAGGTAGCATTAGGAAAGAGGTATTTGTGATAAGTTTGCTACAGGCCATACGCTGCGCACAAAAAACAAACTTTCAAGGGGGAGTCGGAACATCCTTGATGGATGCGCCTATGATGGTTTTTAGTCTTATGTCTTATGCCACTGAACATGGAGAGATAACAGCATATCAATCGCAGTTCTTAATACCAAGGCACAAAAAAGGCTGGTCAAGCTGACACACATCGCACAGCCCCTCTATATTTTTTCCAGCTCTACTCAATGTACCATTTATTATTGTTCTTTTTCATGTCAGCTTGGACAGATGATGGTTGATAGATGTCGTACTGTATCTTAGCAATGATGCTGCTTTCGATGTTTCTCGCTGATGGTTGTTAGAAGTGCTTCGGCTGCTAGTTGAGCAATTGTGCATTAGCAACATATTACTGAGTCATAGCAATGATACTTTGGTATAATGCCATACATTTTAAACCATATCAAAATGCCTGTACTTGTAACTAAAATCTGAAGTTATAATTTATCTCTATAAACAAGGCGAGCTACACTTCCTCGTAATAAACGAGGCTGTCAACCCTTTGTCATTCACTGATATACAGCAAAATCAGGTACCAGCTTCTACATCTTTAATCTGTCAAAGTGATAGTAATGCAGAAAAGAGGGCATTAACGCCCTCGTTCCCAAGTGCTGCAAACAGAAATTGATGTCGAGTGCTGTCAACGTGACGGGCTTCACGGCTCGTAGCAAGCCAGTTAATCTCAAGTCAGTGCTCTCACTGGGCAGATAAGATAAGAACTGCGCTTCTGGGTTTCTAGGCGCAGGCGACTAGCGCGTCGCCGTCAACAAAACGGATCACTTCCGCGGTCAGTATGACGTGATTGAAAGAAGCTGCCAGTCACAAAAGGCATGATTTTGGCACGCACAGTAACCAGAAAGTAACGGGTGAAGAAGCGCCGCTCGGACGCAGCATACAAATGGGTGATCATTCAAACTACAATGTAGACAGATCACCGCTGCAGCTGAGGGATCATTTTCTAGAGACCGGCGAAGATTGAGGTCGACGCAAACGAGCGAAGGTCACAATGCTATTCAAGGCTATCGCCAAAATATCGGATGTGAACAAAGGCAAAAGGGTTTAAATCGATAGCCGCTAATTTTGGCCATCGGTAATCACATGAAATTGCTATTTCGATACTGGTATTTCGTTTCGGCCAACCGCAAGAAATATGAACAGGCGCAAAGCATTGAGTGATCACGGCAACAGTCGCGCGTCGGCTTCCCATTCATTGGACAACAGTCTTTGTTACGCTACCATGAGGAGCTGTTCCTATGTTGACAACGGAGTACGTACTGCAGTGTAAACGTAGCGGCGAGCGGAATGCGACACTTGAAGGAGCAAAAACGGAGAGACATTGCGTACATAGACGTTTCAACTTCTTTCACTGCTTTTCCTACCAAATTTGGGCAAAGCGGTGAGTCGAGAGCGCTGTTGTCATAGCTGCCTACGGCAAACACATCATTAATGAGCCGATTTTCGGCGCGCTTAATCTGTACCGGACAAACGCCACACACGCAACCAAGACACGCACGATGACCGCGCGAAACGCAGTGGTGGCAACACAACGGGTGCACAACTCACCAAAACAGACAGTTGACCGCGACAAAGGCTGCAGCGCTCACGTACGGTCTCTCCCAGATGAGCAGGCTCTGGATCGAAATCAGGTGCGCCTCGAACGGTCCCAGAACGCGCTCGAGCTCACAATTTTGGTCTCTGTCGACTACACCGGTAGTTCGGAGCTGCCGTTCAAAGCCACTGCGCAGAAATCGCCTCGACCAGGCGAGCAGTTGCAGCACCCGCTCCTGCGCGGCAGCCATGTTTATTTTCTTGGTCTCGTATGACGTCACGAGCATATGACTTCAGTCACCTGACCCACCGCGCGGCGTCGCCCGTAGTGTCGTCTTCGCGGCGGTCGCGGAAAGCACGGCCGCTGGATAGAAAAGTGCATCCGTGGTATGCGTGACGCGGGGGTGCTTCCAAGAGTGGAAAGGATATAAGTAGCGTGGAAATAATACTAAGGCAGCTAAGAGGAGAGTTGAGCCACGTTGGTTCGGAATCATTTTGAAACGGCGCAAAAGACGAAACCCAGAAGACAACATGGACGTGTGCCGTCTTCTATGCGTTTCGTCTTTTGAGCTGTTTCAAAATGAATGATACGACAATAGTGCTTTTTTTTTCGTTACGAGGGGGCGAGCCTCAACTTCTGAAAACTTCAAACAGCCATAACAGCCTCCAAAGTCGGATGACGCATCTCCTATGTTTTAGTGGCGGTCAGTGGCTTCCCGCGTGGGAAAAGTCCCATCTGAATGGGCTTTGTTAGTATGCCATCTTATCCCTTTAGTACCACAGCTAGGACAAGGCCACGCCACAAAGGAACATTTAACGACACAGCAACACTACCTTCGACATTTGGGCTTATTTCCATTTGTGCAACCGCGTAAATGTACAATTCGTAAAATAACGCGTTACGTTGAAAAAGAACAACGAACGAAATCATAAGCACTTTTCACGGGGAAGGAGTAGGAATGGTAGAGAGCACAACTACTTCACTATGACATAACCACACAAGATGGAAATTTCGTAGCACATATATGTATATTGCCACGCTGTGTTGTTGACAATATAGTTGAAGGGGTTCTGATTACTGCAATGGGTGATTAGGTCCAGCTGTTAATTGGTTGCGGTTTATTTCGCTGTTTTTTTAATCCAATGTACATGTGTCATTTGACGTTGCGAGCGGAAGGAACTCAGTTGCAGAAATGAAAATAAACTTTTTGTCTCAAATTAACGATATGTATAATTCTTTCTTTTTCTGCGCGCCTTTGTCATTGTCGTGCCATAATGGAACAAAACATGCAGACTTGTAGTGCACCTTTTTATTTTATATGCTTACTCCCGTTTCTGCAATCACGTTAATATACCTCGCAGCGTCGAATGACGCGTGGGCAGAAGCGCTAAATAAACCATATAGAACTTGTCAATTATCCTGAGCTAATCGCACAATCCAGGAATCCATAGTGAGTATACGGGACCCCTTCAACTATATGTGCTATAAAATTGATTAGTTCAGTCTAAAGACTGAACTAATCAATACTTAAACTCTCGACCTTTCCTCCTCTTTTCTGAACAGTGTTTCTGATTACTTTCGTTGTTCTCTTTCAACGCAATGCATGATTTGACGATGGGAATGGTATCAACGCGGTTGTAGAAAAAAAAAATATCCATATTACTGAATTTAGTGGCCGTGTTTCGTTAAATATTTTTTTTTCATGCAGGCAAACATAGGCGCGCACAAAAAAAAAAAAAAATATGTGGTTCGCGAAACGAAATATCTTAGTAATTATTTAAAATCTTTGCAAACAGATGTTTGGTGTGGTGAGCATGTTCGTGACGCACTGTGCTCTATACCAAAAACACCATAAACAGAACCATAGTTGCATTTCAATCGTGCCATGTATGTAGTGGCCAAATTTTAACGAAAGTAGTTTTGCTTTTCTCGGCGAGATTTAAGATCGGCCGTGTACATCAGACCCGCGGGCGAGCTGTGCCGTCTGAACAGTTTGCCCACATAAAGAGTTACTAACCATTACGCCTTGTTCAGATTACCACGGCAAAATATACCAGATACCGTGGCAAGATATATTCAGATTACCATGGTAAATAGGTACCATACACAGCGCTACACTGATTCAAGAGGCAGTATGTGTGGTTGTTTACTATATATTCACCAACCGTGGCGAAAAAGAGTCGCCTCACTTGTGTTTCTTAGAAAAACTATTGGGATGTATAAAGTATTGTATGTTTTACGGCCTGTTCACGTATACACTATCCATATGTGTCTGCATGTTTATAGGAGATTCATCTCGGCATGTGTTCAGTCAGCGGCACCCACACGCTTTATGCGCGCGCGTACAACGTTTCTCGAGCACGCTTGATGGGGAGGTCGTTGGATAGGCACCACAGCCGCGAAGATTTGTCCACTCGCATTTTACTTAAATTAAGCAATGTGTCCAGAAAAAGTTTATTCTCACAGACAGAGTGCATCAATAAAATTTCAACAGAACAGAACATGCAGAAACAAACGAAAAGTTGTTACAAAAATATTTGTATACATATGTATACATTACATAGTATACAAAAAGCACACATAACGTGCATATGTACATCCTGCGTATATACATGGAATTCCTGCCGCTACTTCCGTAAAAACTATTAATAACTCCCTTTATGCCTCCAGTGGCTTCTGTTAGCCGTAATTACGCCCAAAATATCGGGCCCACCGGTTCCTAGGCCGTCTCGTTTAATACGGATATGATTACAAAAGAATCAAATCATAAACTACATGTATGCATTGACAAAGAATCAGCAACGTCCAGTTTTTTTTTTTTAAGCAACTCTTCGCGAACGAACATTTTCCTGAAAGGTGTTGTTTTGAGCGATGTTTTTCGGACGTTCAACTACGCAAAGAAAAATAGGAAAAAAAAAACACCGTAAATTACTCACGCACAATGCATAACAGCTACATAATTAATCGCGTGTATTTTTCGACGCACCAGTTAATGTGACCCTTGCTACGCCGAGAAGACGCGGCGAACTTTGTACATGTTCGTGTACATTTGTGTGTGTTCTTTCATGTATGAGTGTATTTTTTTTTAAATCTGACTTTCCTCTTAGCGTAATGGAAGTGTACACAGCCTTGACGGAGGGCGTTCAAATAAAACGCAATTTCCGCATTTCCCTAATATTCATGCGTCATGAGATTCACATTTTGCTTGCCAGGTGTCTTCGGTTAAATAATCAGGGAATTCTTGTTTTGCAATATTAAGCAAAAGTTCGAGATAGACTCAGTCATGTTATGCGTAACTTAATATATGAAACTACTTCGGCCAATATTCTGGAGATAAAAAAAAGAAAATGGAATAATTACTGCTCGTACAATGTTTTCTTGCCTGCTAGAAAACGGCCAAGTTTTCGAAAGGAGCGGCACACAATTTTTGTTTTTCGTCAAATTAGAAATATCATTCTGCAGCCATGTCGAAATTCTGGCTGTGATTCAGCAGGGTGACGCATTTCTGCCTCTTTTTCCTTGGGTTTTTGAGAATCTCGTTACTGCTAGACGGACAAACTTGCATGACATGACAGAACGCGTGCGAAAAGTTGCGTTGCGTCGCCGCCTTGGGCGAACCTCCAACTAACAGCGTGTTGGCAGGCTCGCGTTTGAAGGGATGAAGTCGCTTGCATCGCTTTCCGGTAAGTCTTACGGCGTGACACCGTAACCGAGTACTGATGAAGCACTGCGATTGTAGAACTGCCTCGTGGAAGGATTGCCTTAGAAACAGGTGGTTGAGACAGACAGACAGACAGACAGACAGACAGACAGACAGACAGACAATAGATAGAATCTATCTATCTATCTATCTATCTATCTATCTATCTATCTATCTATCTATCTATCTATCTATCTATCTATCTATCTATCTATCTATCTATCTATCTATCTATCTATCTGTCTATCTATCTATCTATCTATCTATCTATCTATCTATCTATCTATCTATCTATCTATCTATCTATCTATCTATCTATCTATCTATCTATCTATCTATCTATCTATCTATCTATCTATCTATCTATCTATCTATCTATCTATCTATCTATCTATCTATCTATCTATCCGCCTACAACTTCCAGCTCTCCTGGCCGTTTCGATAATGGTATAGATACCAAACTTGGTATGGCGTCAGAGCACTCTATGACGAGCATAGTTGACTAGTCATAACAGGACTATCATGACGCGTATGTCACGAAAGTTATGATTTACATTTCATGGTCTTGCTGCTCTTGCGGTTGTTTCGTTCACATGACATGTTGCAAAATTGGCATGGTATGACATGACTGCATGGCGAACACTAGTGACAGACCCTAACGTAGAAATTATGTCATGCATGTCATGTAAGTCATGAAACCTAACTTTACACGCCACGCTCATGGTACGCTCGCAGTCATTTCTCTAGCTTCGCATATACCGAATTTGGTGTTACGGGACGTGAATGCATGACGAAGGTATGGTGCAAACATGATAATTACGAGATGCGTGCCATGTAACATGACTACATGCCACACTCATGATGCGCTCGCGGCCGTCTCGCTAGCTTCACATGTACCAAATTCGGTATTACGGGACGCGAATAGATGACATATGTAAATTACACGTCCAAACATGATACTCACGATATGCGTGTCATGTAACAACATAACTACGTGCCACACTCAAGGCGCCAATACACTTCGACGTGACCCGGTGCGCGCTTGCGCCGGCGTTCGTTTTGTTGAGCGACGCCAGTAATGCCACGCCAGCTGCCGATCTGCCTGGCATATGCTCGCAGACGTGCACCACGCTGCTTTGCATTGACGCATGCGCGTTTGAGCGCGCCCGGCGTCCCTCCGTCATGAAGCTATGCAGACGCGGTTCTGTCTGGGTAACATCATCGGCGCGAAATGCAGCGTGTCGCATTTCGCGCCGGTTGCCGCCAGACATTGCCGACAGACGCTGGTCGCACCTAGCGTCAGACTATATAGAGTGCTCGAGGTTTGCTAGCGTAGCGTCGCTGTGCCCGGCGTGCGCGCGCAACAACGCTACGTGCATTCGCCGCCGTTTCGCTAGCTCCGCATATACCACATTAGGTATCAGGTGCCGTGGATAGATTACGAAGGTAAATGACACGTCCAAACATGATAGTCATCACATGGAAGTCATATACTGCATAATTTACCTGCGTGCCTCGCAACGTCGTGCTGATTTTAAAATGACATATCACCCTTCTTCATTT